GCAGGCGCTCGATGGCTGCGGCGCTGCTCAACACGATACTGATACCACCAATCGAGCTTGGTGATCATCAATCCTCGACGACGCAGACCCAAGCTCGCATGCTACATGAGGACCACCGATCCTCATCAATGGCAACCGCTTACCTGTGGAGCCAATGTTCTGTACTGCAGGGATGCGTGGAAAGAAGGACCTCGGTCACACGAGTTTCACCGTCAGTCGACAGGACACAAGCTTCGACGACCCTGCCATGCGACGTGGTGCCGTGCGACCGAGGCCCTGCAGCGCAAATTGCGGAATGAGCATCGCCCCAGGCTGCTATCCTTCTCTGGTAAAAGCTCTGCGTTTCGCCTTTGTCGTGCTCGCTCTTACACGTGTGTTTTACACGACTGAACAATTGCACCCGAATGGGATATTCTCCGAGTGCCACGTCATGGGAATCGACACTTGAGTTTTCTATCACTGTACTAACTATGGGCGATTCCGTTTCAAACGTGATGCTGTCGGCAAGCGGCGTCAGCGTCTTGGCGTGATGCCGCTAAGATGGCACTACGATCTTACTTTGGAGTGCGTTGTGCCTCTCAGATGGCACTACGATCTAAGTCGTGCCTCTCAGTAGCACTACGATCTTAGTTTGGCGCGCATCTTGGATCGCGTCTCGCGACCGCTGTACGCCTCGTACGTCGATGCGACCTCGCTTTCCGTGCCCTCCATAGCGTCCTCTACTACTGTGCCAAGGTTTGGTCATTTCGTTTTCGAACGCAAAGAGGTCGACCGCGGATATCCAAATAATGTGGCTAATAACACGCAAGTTGTCGCGGTGCGTTCGCGATTGCGATTTGATGGCCAACGTCGGTCAAAATAAAAATGTCTCCTACGTTGTAGAGGGATTACGTTGGCTTTGTATAGCACGGAGCACCAAGTTGCACCGTCGTGCACGGCCTTCAGCGCTCGAAACTCGTGTCCAACGTGATGCCGAATTGCACTATGACGAGCTTGTACATGGCACATGCCATTTTCAAGAAAGGATGCGATGGAAGACACAACCGCAGCCTTCATGAAGAAGCTTGGCGACGCTCTCTTTTACGAAATGCATATATCCATGTCAGTTTCAGTCCCAGTCGTTGCTAAAATTCAATTTAGAAGGAGATGGAAACGCGCCACTAAATCTTCCAGACGAAACGCACGTTTGTTCCCGCGATTCTTGTGTGCCCGTCCTTTCCATGGCCCCGTACGAAGTCACGGCTCTCGATGTGTGGGCGCTCACGATCACGATTTCGGCGCAGTCGCTTCCGATCTGGCAGCTCGGCTACTCGGCGGGCTTTGCGAGCTACTCGGTTGGCATGGGCCTCGTCGGCCTCGCCTACATCTGCCTCATTTCGTGTCTCGGCGAGCTTATGAGCGCGTTTCCGTTCGCCGGCGGCGCCTACGGCCTTGCGCGCTGCACGCTCGGCTTTAGTGTCGGCTTCCTCGTCGCGATTTGCGAGATCAAGTAGTACGTCGACTCGGCCATGGCCATGGTGTCGTTCACAACTATCTTTGTGTGCATTGCCCCCGACTCGGCCGGCTTGGAGCCACTGGTCTGGGCGCTGCTCTACGCGCTCAGCCTCTTCGTGTACATCCGCGGCGATCGCTGGTTCTGGTACGCCAACTTCGTGCTCGCGTTGTCCTGCCTTCTTGTCACCGTCGTGTGGCTCCTCGGGTCCCTTGCGTTTCTTGACTTCGCCACGTACGCGCCACCCCCGACGCTCGTGCTTGGCGGCGCACACGGATTTTTCCGAGCGCTGCCGTCGGCCACGGGCTTCTTCCTCGGCGTCGAGGCCGTAAGCACCGCGGCGGACGACGTACAGAGCCCCCGCGCCACGATTCCAAAAGGCCAAGGCTACGGCATGCTGACG